TGGACATATGAAAATTTAATATGTGTTACACACAATGTCAATGCTGTACCTCCTTCTTATGCAACAATATTGTGGCAACTCTATTACGTCTTGACAGATGTGTGGACCATCTTCTCATTGTTAATTTAAAAGTATAAGCAATCACAGTATGACTTACACACCACATTAACATATTTATCACATTCACATCACCATTTGCATTGCTCATTTACAACATTTACAACATTCATCATAAGTTTTCTTTGTGTAACACACTTGATATTAAATAGTCTGACTCCACTGTGGTAATTCTTCATTTTAATGGATTGTTCAAGAAATAACTTGCTAATTCTCTGGTTCTGACAAAAATGTAACTGTAAATGGGCAAGCATAAAAGTCAGGCTAAGTTTAGATTTTGAGTGCAAAAATTGGAATACATGATGAAATATGCGACTTCAGCATCATAGGAGTACAATACATGCCTGACCTGAATAAGAATGCATATTGCAAACGTGCAAATAATGACTGACAGTGTGGAAAAAGCACTGTATTAAAATGTATATATTTATTTTACATCTATATAGAAGTCTACTCTAACTGAAACTGCCTTGGATTTCAAACCTGACGGCGACAGACGTCAAACATGACAGACTCTGATGTTGAACCTGGCTGACTCAAAACCATTAAAATTGTCAGATAAATCATTCAAAATTGCTAAAATTAAATACACGTTTATGAAGCCAGTGTGGCAATATTGCTGTGCAACACAGCTATTAATAACAAGTGCCTCATTATTGCTATTATTTTGTAGCGTTGTCAATACTTTACCAGTGGATTTTCTGGCTCTAAAAAACGGAACAGTTTAACAGCCCGTGAATCTGAATAAATTTAATGTCTTTCTGGAAATTGCTTCCACAATCTCATATGGCAAACTAAGAAAAAAACTATTAATCCATTAAATATTATTGTAATTTTTTTTTTTTACATTGCGAGTGGACGAGTGACTGATGTGTGGTGTGGACTAGCATTGTAGTGATCGACGAACCAACGGCACACCGTGACAGGTACGTGCCAAGGTGTCCGTCACAGCCTTGCACTACACTACGCTAGATCGCTGCTGTGGACCAGCTGGATCAACTACGTAGGGATGGGAACACCCAAGAACACAGATACTTTCATTTGTTTATGCAAATTGTGCCTGGATTGTGACATTTCACAGTGAAGTCAACGCAAATTGTGGAGTACTACTCACTACAAAACAGAACAAATTCATCTCTCTGTATTCGTAGAAATAATGCTACTTAAATCACCTTAATGCACTTTAGAAAGTGCATTTTTGTACTATCAAAATTATCTTATAACAAATTTAAACAGAAATGTTCATTGCATTCATGGGAAAGTAGGCATGGGTATCATGAAAAACCAAATGGCCACCAGTCTGGCATATTAGTTTGAATCGCACAAAAAATATGACATGCAACTATAACCCAATATGTATGATCATCATACCAACTTTGATCAAAATTGGCTCAGTCATATCTGAGAAACAGCTCCGGACATGTAATAATGATGATTTAGCATTTTTACATGAAAATTGGGCGTCAGTATAAGTATTAGATAATAATTACTAAGATTCACACAATAGCACTGGGTGAACTCATGGGATTGGAATGTTTTATTTTACCCAGCATTCTAAGTTAATTATAGAGACCTGAAAATAGACTGAAAACATGGCATGACAGGATGGGAAAACTAGTGATATGAAATGATAACACCAAAACAATTGACTTAAATTTCCAGTTTGTGTCACTACCGAAATAGCTTAGCCAAAATACTTAAATATAACCATGTTATAGAAGTTTCTAAACTAAATATTGGAATTCAGGATAAGATATATAATGACATGATTAGAGGCTAACCAACCCACTATTCTAGACTGCACTATTATTGCTACATGTATGTTTATGTGGCAGTATCAGTTAAAGGATGTAAAAATCAATGTTGTTTTAAATTTTATTGGCATCAGTGAGAGCTTCACAAGAGTCTCAGATTTCACTGATCTGATCAATCTGAACAAATTCTTATTATATACTATCATGATCCCACCATCACTAGTTATATCAGGTAACCAAACTGCCAACACACGAATGAGAAAAAAGCAAGTGATGAATAAAATTTAAGAAAAACACTTCAGGACAATTTTTATTCTAAGACACTAGTCAAGGTCATACCGTATATACTCTATTAGAAGTGTATCTTCGATAGATATGCATAAACCAAAAATAAGGGCTGCCATGGTAAAATCATACACGGCCAGGCTAAATATCGCGCCGCCAGGGTAAAATTCTTCAGCGCCATGCTAAAAAACATTCCTAAAAAAAAACAACGGCTCTGCTTCAAAATACATTTGTGCAATTTAAATGGCTCATGGCCGTTCCAGATCGTTGTAGTATGAAACCGTGACCCTACAGGTGCGATCTATTAGGAGCGGCGACCTCAGTTTTCTTGCCGAAGCACCGTCCTGTCTGCGTGGTCTGGCGGCGGTAATTACAGCTCGACAGTTTGATGCGAGGCGCGTGCAACTTCTTGTTTATTTTGTTGCTTTACTGAATCAATGAATAGAATCTTATCAAAGGCTGCGCCGGTATATTTCGTGTACTGATTCATGGGTAAAGTCGACAAGAACCCGAAAATATTGTCGTCAAGAAACAATTCTTAGTTGTTTGTTGACGTATGTTTCATGTATTAAAAATAAGAATATTAAAATGGCTGGGGTGTTGATGATGTCTGAAAATAACGTATTTAATTAATAAATACATAGAAAATATAAATAATTAGATACATTTTTTATCACTATACTACAGGATTAAAAAAAGAAAAAATATATTAGTGTCTGATTATTACAACTTACAGAAATCAAGTGACTGTTTGAAAAAGTATCCGTGTATGAAATGTGCTGGTAATCAATAACCGGCTGTGTTATTCTATGAATAAAAACGTGTGTGGCTGAAAATTTATAAAATAATTATGATTTTTTAAATTTTATTTGTGGAGTGCCTTCTGTGACTTCCTGTATTTAAGATAATTCACTTCAGCCGCGAACGTAGTAAATGCTCGGCTACATTGTATCTATCTTCCTTTGAGTCAGTGAGCTGTTATGTCAAGATTCATGTTTATTTTGGCCCATTTAATTAAAAATACAAACGCTGTCAGAACCCAATTGTCAAGCTGCGTTGATTTTCGCTGTAGGACTACGATCTTCAAAGCGCTTGTCGATAATCTGGTTTATTTGTGAACTCGCTGTACACACGATAGGTTCAGGACGCGGTCTTCTGAAATATTTCTTTAAACATCCAGCCAATGAAGCAAGTCGATGGTTCTTTCAGCTTTGTCTGCTGCCGATGTCTATTCTTCGGATGCAGATGACGAGCCACCGGCAAAAAAAGCTTCGAATTCGAAACAACACCGCAGGATTTGACCCTGCATGGACAAAGCGGTACACATGGCTACTCTATGAATGAGAGAAAGGTAAGATTTTATTTTTCCACTTTAAACCCTAACCCTATACTGACTCAGTGAGGGCCTAATGCAAAATTTCGGACTAGCCTACATGTATGTAACGTTCATTCGTCACCGCGCATGTGTGGACGCCTCAGCCCCCAGGTTAGACTGGTGTAGTCGATTAATTTGTTTTTGCAGTTTAAATAAAATTAAAAAAAACGCAAAATCACCCCGACCGTTTTATTCTGCATGGGCCCTCTATCGACACTGCAAGAACCCGTCAATTTTTCAATGGGTAATTATGTTTATGAGTGTTTTAATTGACAATCATCTAAGCCAATCACACATCTCTTCAACTGACCTCTGATTTGAGAAGACTTCAGCTGATTGTAGCAGCAGATTTTTTTTTTTTATTTTACGACTAGTACGAGTTACTTTTTTTTTTTTTTTTTTTAAATATTTTTGTGCCAGGCGACAGTTCTGGACATTGAATGTCACCATTGTCTCTCCTGACTTTTTTTTTGTATGTGCAAATTGCAAGTGCTAGTGCTGACACATAGTGCATTTTGCCACAGAAGTCATATTCATGTTTGGGACTACATGACAGGGCTGTGTGGCCATCTCTCTGTCAAATGGCAATTTTAATGCGCTATCCTGGCGTCAACCAGGCTCGGTCGAACACAAGCACCTGCGGACCTTAACAAAGGTTCCCCCAAAGTCGCATTCGTGAGTGAATGAATTTCGGCCAGTGGAATTGGCCTTCCCATTGAGTCTGTGGCACACTCACCCAGGGTAGGGGTTGACCCTTTGATGTTCAGCCTAAGGTAGGATTTGAACTTGGGTCTACCGATCATGAGTCTGGAGCGACAACCACTATGCTACCAGTGACCGGTTACGAGTTACTTTTTGCAACGACGACAAACTCAAATTTCAATGTGCCACCAAGTTAGGTCTGCAGTGTGACCTTTACCATGTTGACCTCATTATACAATATATAATGCATTTATGAATTTTAATAGCAATTCACAGTACATTTCCTTCAGAATAAACCACTCAGGGTGATTTCGTGCTTACACCTCCATTTCGTGAATTCAGGTGCGTTATTGGATTGACTTCATTCACTTACGAGCGGCGTTCATCAAAGGACCGCGAACGAAGGCGAAAGCGCTACTTTCGTGCAGGTAGGCTTGTATTAACGGCTTTAAGACCATTAACCCCTTAGCCTTTTACATTATATCAAAATATCTTTTTCGATCCATTAGTACGGTAGTTCCTTGGTTCGACTATAATTTTCCAGTACTTTCCAGATTCTTTATTTCTCCTGACATCCGACAATTAAAAACAATGTGGCCAAAAATAACTCCAATAATTATTATGATATACTTATAAATCGTATTGACCACAAGCAATCCAGCAATGTACAATAGGGTCACCTGCATGTCGTCATTTGATGATTTATTTGTTCTTTCAGAAGGGATGCTGTGTAAGTTCTGCATTAAGCACAGGCAGCATGCAAGGACTGAGGTGAAGGTGTGGACGGAGGTGCCTTGTAAGTCAGTCAGAGAGAGAACCAAATTTAAGAACATCAGAAGAGTACCTTTCATGACGTTGCTGTCAGCCTGGAAGGACAAGCTGAGAGTGTGAGAAAACATTGGGATTGAGGCTGCCGTGACATCAATGGTGACAGTACAACAGATTGCCTTCATTGCCGCAATGTATGTACTGGCTTATAAAGCGGGAGATACTACAAATTACAAGCTATTGTTATCGTTGGTCAAGGATCTGGGATGCACATACTTTGATTCCCTGAACTTGGATGCGGATTCGTCGTACACCTCGAAGAGGACGATGAATGAGATCGTCTGGTGTCTAGGTAAGCATTTTCACCACTCTCCCCATCCCATTGATAACCAATCACAAAATAAATTTCATGGTACCAAATTTTGAAGTGGATATCATGGCCTGCTGTTCTCCAACGCTCTAGTCTTTTAAGATGATATATAATTTTTGTAGGTCAAACTATCAGAGGCAAAGCTGGAAGAGCTGCAGAAATCGTTGTTTGTCATGTTGATAGATGAATCAACCGATATATCGGTAACTGAGCAGCTTCTCATCTACGGGAAGTACATGTACCTCAAGGAAGGAGAACCAACGGCCACTTTCATGAGAACAGAAGTGGTACGTTATTTGTTTCTGTATAGGCTATTATGATTTGTAAATAATAATCATTATTTTTATGAAATATTTATTTCTTTTTCAACATAGTAATTGCGCTATTCATAATTACTCAACAAGTATACGCAGTGGGTGTCAAATTTTCATTTTTGTTTTGTAGATCAAGTCCGCAAATGCCGATGGCATCACGGCCAAATTTTTGTCCTTTGCCAATTACAATAAACTTGACACGAGTAAACTAGCCGGATTTGGCAGTGACAGGGTCATGGTCGGCCGTAATAAAGGAGTTGCAACACAACTAAAACGCGCAAGTTCCACCCATCGCATAGTAACATTGATTTAAGGCTCAAAAGCCATGAACGCAATAAATGGCAAATCATTGCATTTTGCATAATCATTGAAAAAATTTTACTAATCAATTTCAGGTTTCCCCCATGACAGTCAGAAGTCACTGTGTGGCTCATCGTTTGGCATTGGCTATGGGCAGCTCTGCGAAAACCGTGCCTTAAGGTAAGATGTTTAACGACACACTTTAAATGTTGTATAACTACTACGAAAATTCAGCCGTGCAAACAGCAAGACTCCGTACTATCTGAGTAGGTTTTTGGCCCCATAAATGAGTGCTTTAAAATTATAGCAGCATCTTATTGAGGCGGCTGAGTGCCCGTTCTTCATGCCTTGCCCAATTTAACAATTTATGTTACTTTTTTTTTCAGGAAGCCCTGAGGGACTTCTTGGACGAGTGTGGTTTTGCAAAGAATTTTGATGATCAAATCAGATTTTACGTCTTGCTTCAGGATTGATTCGCGCGGGTAATTCTTGAAGTTATTCCATTCGTTGACGGCCACTGCTGTTTTATCTGGTTCGGTTGCTTTCTGTAAAAAATTAAGTACAAATGATTTCACTGCTTCATTGCCATATGTTGAATTGCAATTGCGTAAGTGATCAGGGTCGAAAATACTGAAGTTAGTGTGCAGACGTCTTCAGCTGGTAATCTTCGTTCCACATTGGCAATCAGTGTGTCGATATACATTACTTGAACATGGTTGTTAATGAAATTGTCATCGTCGACTCGTTTTTTAACGGCAATGTTGCAGACCTCCAGTTCTGCAATAATTTCTGGCAGCTGCTGGAAATACTGGCCATCATTGGTTTTCAAATGCTGGATTGATTCAAGCGATTAAATCAAACTATGTTCAAACTCCCGAGCCTGAAACAATTTACATAGACCGGAAATGTGTGGTAAAATATCACACAGCAATAACACAGAGAAAAAAGTCTGATTTCTTCATCTGCAATAGTGTGGATTCTTCGAGCTGTTCAGAAATTAAATTTAGCATTTTTGAATTGAATCATCACTACAATAGGTCACATTCTTTGCAATGTGCAGGTCATCTTTTACAGAAAATCCAATTTGCGTCAGCAAGTCTAATAGCAGCTCAGAATTAATTATGTGTGGGACGCGTCACTTGGTCAGAAAATATAATCACTTGAAAGCCAATGTTATGGCGTCTCTGTTGACTTCAGGCTGGATAACTGTAGCGATATTTTGACTGGCTTCCATCAATAACTCAAGTTTAACTGATGAGCAGATGTCGCTTCGTGATCTTTCACGCTGCACAGACAAAGCCGTGTACAGGGAGCCTTGTTCCAAGTTTTCGCGATCGAATGGGCGCTTGTCATATTTCTGGCATAATTTACAGAACCTGCCTTCTCCACTTTGATAAATCAACCACCATTCTCGGCCTTGTGTCCACTCTTTTCGAAACTTCAATGCCTGCTTGCTTTGACGAATAGGACTGTTGATACTAGCATCTGGTTTTGACTTCTTTGGAGTTGGTAGCTGGTTTTCTTGATTACTAGTATCGAGCTTGCGTTTTGGTGTAACCGTGACACCAATCTTTGACAGAGACATGGTCGTGATATGATAACTTCGCGAAAAACTGTTGAATTAAAATTTCCTGCAGCAGGGAATATATGCACTTTATCTCAAGAAGACACAAGAGAAGTGATGCTCTGAGCCGATTTTGATTTTATTTATACTCTTATGGTGTGAATTACTTATTATTTTGACTGAATCAGTGAACCCCAGCATCGGCATATATAATATACGCTGCCGGTCATATATTTAGCATGTCGTTGGCTGGTGATTACCGCGGTGTATGCCGGCAAAGATGAAAGTTACAGCCAACAGTGATCGTCTGAAAGCTTTTTCTAGCGAACAATGAGGTGCTAATTTTGACCTTGTTGTGTTTATTATCATTTTAATTACATGCATACTGTCCACGTAGAGGGACTTGTCCAGTGTTTACAACACCTAACGCGACCAGCAGGACCTTTGCTGGTCGCTGCGTAATTATAATAACAATGGGACAATAGTCCTGGTCGGCGAACTTCTTTATGTGGAGCCTGGTCAAACCTATGGGGTAGCTATGATTTTTTTTAGAATTACAAGACGCTTACGCGCATAACCGTTCCATATTTGGAATGTGCGTTTCCTAATTAAGTAGGATGAAACTACACAGTGCAATACCGCAAAATTACGGCACGCTGTAACTTATGGCGTTATGGTGACAGATGTATAATACTACTATTTAACTATAGAAACAGTTTCGTAATTCACATAAATATGTGCTATACACTAATAGAGCACATTTTTTAGCATTCCAGTAAAAGTATTTGAATTTAGTTTATAAACACTAGACATGACAAATAATAATGAGCACTATACCAAAGATGTGTACCTTAGCATGGCTTTCATCAAGTTCCTTTAGCTGTTTTACCATTTTATCTTTTGCTTTCTGGTGTTGCTCCATCAGTGCTTCTAGGTGTACCATAGGACTGCATGGCATATTGGTATTCTTAGTACCAGCAACAGCGCCCTCATCTGTGTCTCTTTGTAAGGCAGTAAATGGGTTGCCAAAGCTAAATTTACCATATTTCAGTTTTGCTTGTGATAGGCGTTCTTTATCGGCCTGAAATATATGGATAGATAATTAATGGATCACATTGTATTTAAGGTAGAATGCAACACAGAAGTAAAAATATTGTCATTTTCTTCACATTTATATATATGGAATAAAAATATGGGGTCACCATACTCTGTTCAGACAAATCAATGTACAAAATGGATTTTTTTCTGTTTTAGGGCATTTTACCATTGTTTTCTAGGAAACTAATACATATCAAAATTTAGCACAGTGACATGTACTAGAAGTTTTAACTAATTTATCATTATGGAAACCGCTGCTAAAATAACATTTTATGCATATTATTTTACCATTTTTCTCAAAAAGCAGATTGACAGTGAACCAAAAAAAGTGTACGTACTGTTGACTGACTAATACTAAATAGAATAATGCCATATTTATATAAAATATGCGGACATGTAAAAAACTTGCGAGTAGCATTCTACATTAGGTTGTCAGAGCATATATGGGAAATACGTCTCGCAGCTGGAAATTATTAGCACCATAATCATAATATGATCAGCAAACTACTATTACAAGACACAGGTCATATCAGTAGGAAATAGAGATTTTTGAGCAATTTATCATTGGTTTCCATGGTAAAAATAATTCAATGGGGAGTGATGAAAAGTTTCTATCAAATGTTCATGTCAAAATCAGAATATAACGGAAATATAATATATTATACTAACTATTTTGTGGATGGTGCCTAAGGTTGACTTTAGCCTTAAGCACTCAAAAGAATAGAACACATATAGAACTACATGTATGCTCTTATAATAATGCAAATGACCTCTTTATCATACATGCAAGGGTATCAGCAAGTAAATCTTTATACTGACCATGAAAACATGAAAATTAGAAGGCCAAGGTTAGTAACATCAGAGAGCACAGTGCGCGTACTTTAGGACAAAACATTTTTAATATTGTGCAATACACTAGCATTTAATTAATGTGTGCTATAGCACGTACGCCTGCTAGATCATGAGTAGGTTGATCATCTAACATATGTAATCTACCGGTATACTGCTTACAGGATATTTTTTATTAAAATCCAAGTCACAGGTTATGATGATATTATGAGTCATTCTCAAACTGAATTATAGTACAGTCATTTTGTGGTGTGTCAAAAATACAACCTACAAATGCATGGACCACCATAAAATGAAAGTAGAATATATATTCCAATCCTTTGTACATGGTTTGACCAAAAATGCTCAATGCATGCAAGAGAAAACTTCATTTTCAGCACACCAGTATCATACCGCAAAATACTATCATACTTGTGATCAATTGTGGGATTCTACAGAGCTTCTGTGTCAAATGAAAACAAACAAAATGTTTAGACAATTATGAAATATGTCAGTTTTACCTTACTGATGCCAATACCAAGAATATGTTCCAGTTGGCAACATAGTTTACTCCCAAAAATTTGTATGAATGCAGAAAAGATTTTTACGAAATGGTAAATTGTATTATTTTTAGTGCTTGGTATGAAATAAATATGAGGTTATTGCGAGGATACCTCAAAGTATGCATAAAGACAGTACAGAGGAAGTACCAACTGATGCGCAGCTGAGGTCGATGCGACGACGTACTGTCTGAGTGCATACTTGAGGTATTATTATTATTATACATCTTATTAATATATATCATGAGAATGCTGAAATCCAAAAAGTTTAGAACAGAATCAGCAAATTTCTTTGTGTGGAGTCCGGTCAAACTCTGGTGGCTGCCATGTTTGTTTTTACGTGCGTAATCATTCCATATTTGGAATTATACACCGACATCTAATATAATGTACATAAATAGAAAATTATGTACAAAAATCAAATGAGCTATCTCGCTGTCATGAATTATTTTCAGCACAGAGAAGACAATGTAAATCAAAATGTGTGTCCTTGGATAATCAAGCACACATGTGCAGTCTCTACACATTTATGTTAAACCGCCCATTCCACATATACATCAATTTATGGCAAACAGCTGCTGATCAGTCAACTTAAGGCCATTTGAGGTGAAATCCTTTAATTCATAGACAAAGAAAGATATGAACTCCAACAAGTCATAACAGATTGAAGTAGATATTAGTCCTACACTTTAAATACCACACATATTTGTCAAAACAGTTGGAGGACTTTAAGGTTGTTAATTAGCCAATTATAGACATCTTTTAGTCTAATATACCCAATGATTGTAACGTTTACAAACACTCATCTACACAATACTTATATTCCCCATTCACAGACTGACTTCTTTTTCCACTATGGTTAACTGACCGTTTAGGCATGTATATGTAACACACCATACTATGGTAAAGATTTAATACATTGTCTCAATTTTTATTCACAATATTAACTCTTCAACACCTTCTTGGTTGACACACTGGAATTGAGACCTTGACATACCCACAAACTCATGCTTATAGTTCTATTTATACTGATGAATTAAGACTTCAACAAATGAATAATCAGTAAACCAAGCATTAACAGATAAAACACATTCAATCAGCTATGATATATGTATTAAAATTGTACATGTATATGTATTAAGATTACATTCAAACCTCTTTTTTTTTTTTACATCTGTTTTTATGCCACCATACTATTACCTAATTGTGCAGGTGATGATACCCCTCCCACTTCCACAGCATGAGTAACTAGCATTTTAATAGAATAGACACAGACTGCAACTTTTTGTATAACATACATATTTACAACAATGCATGCAAATAAGATACATGTGCGTCTCTGGTCAAAATAAATCATATTTAAATGATCTAGCATAGAATAAAATTAAATTTAATGCAATTTTTTAAGCAAATGCAGTCTTTGAAATATGAACACAAAAAGAACAGGAAGAATGCAGAGGCTGAGAGGCGAGAGGTGAGATCGTAATTAATGTTAATATCTTTCACGTTTGCTTCCAACATCATAAAGGTCATGATGATTCATGGTAATATCAAATATGAGTCAGACATGACAAACCAAAACACTATTCTACTAGTAGTTACCAATGCTGGGCTGACGCTAAGGATAAAACAGTTTAAGCCACATTGGCTTTTATTATACCGTATTTATCCGGGTAAGAGCCCAGGGTCTTGAACAAGGAAAATCACCAAAAAGAAGGGGTGGGTGTTTGTCTGGATATCCCCGGCAAAAAAAACACGAAAAATTGAGAAAATTGGCAACACGCAGATCGAACTGCGACAGGGAATAGAACGGCAAATGAAAACATGCAACAGAAATAAATGAACAATATACAGCATTAGAAGTGTAACAAGAAATAATTTATTGCTTAGAATGTGACAAATAAACCAAAAAAAATAAAAATCGACAGTGAAGGATCATTTCAATTTCCCTGCCGACAAACACGGCCCCATATGCGTGAATTATTTCCGGTTTTGACAAATACTGCATTAACAGCCATACAAGATCAATAATAATTTACGCAGTAAAATCACGAAAGTTCATAGTTGTTTGAAAAAAACATATCAGATCTCTATTTGTATGTTCATTGCTATCTTCGTAAAAGTGAAAACCTTGAAAGTTCAAGTTGGAGTCACTCTGGTGAACGAACAAAATCCCTACAGCTTTGTCTTGAGTTCTTCAATGTCGTCCCTCACAATTTGGACTTAGCATATTTAATCCACGAATTTCGCTATCTGTCAGCTCGGCACTTTTAATTCACGTCTAATCAGAATAAAGAGACAAGAAAAATGGGGTTGCACGATGCCTTTGTTTACCTTCTGGCAATCATCTTTGACCTTTAAGCATTCGCTTTACCGATTGGTTAAGAATGACATCACTACTAGTGTTCCATTATAGAGGTCAACTCAACACCGCTTCCTTATTAGCCTAGGCGTTAATCAATCATGGTGAAAGTTACCATTCAGCAAGTTTCGGTGGTTTGAATGTCTCACTATGGATATCGCGGTGGGCTTGAATAATTTCCATGACAGAAATGCAATAGCTGTGATGAAAGATGGTAAACAAGCAGCCTATTGGCTGAGATAGCTCCGCTGTTAGAAATGCACATTTCAATTAAAGAACTGAAGACATCATCAGAAAATGAACAATATGTATAGTATCAAAGCAATTGGACTTACAGTTTTTAACAAGAAGTCGAAAATATCACTTTCTACCAAAAATGACCAAAATATTCACCAAAATTAGAGAATTGAAGATATCATCACGAAATGAACAAATCTGAGAAAGGTCTACATGTAGTATCTATATATGTAATATCAAAGCAATTGAACTTTTGGTTTTTAACAAGAAGTCGAAAATATCACTTTTTACCAAATATGACAAAAATATTCACCAAAATTATAGAATCCAAGATATCATCACGAAATGAACAAATCTGAGAAAGGTCTACATGTAGTATCTAAATATGTAATATCAAAGCAATTGAACTATTGGTTTTTAACAAGAAGTCAAAAATATCACTTTTTACCAAAAATTACAAAAATATTCACGAAAATTAGAGAATTGAAGACATCATCATGAAATGAACAAATCTGAGAGAGGTCCACATGTAGTACCTATATATGTAATATCAAAGCAATTGCACTTGCGGTTTTTAACAAGA